ATGGCTCCAATTGTGAATGGTTCATAGTGACAGCTGATTTTGGCGGTTTCAGAGAGGTTAAACATCTGTTAATAATATTCAGTTTATTTTGAGTTTCATACAAAAATCTTGATTTTTACTGTGTTTGAAATGTCGAATTTTGTGTTAACTATGCAGCATTTGCGGAAGATTTTGATTTTTTTGCTTTAATTGGAAGAAAAGTGCGGCTGAAGCTCATCAGGTTTATGGTGACACTGCTCCAACTGATAAATCATGTAGGGAATTGTTTCGACGTTTCAGAGAATGGATATTTCAGCGTTGAAGACAAGCGTCGCTCTGGACAGCCAAAAAAATTCGAAGACAAAGAATTAGAGGCATTACTCGAAGAAGATCAAATGCAAGAAGAGCAGAATCATTGGGGGTAACTCAACAAGCCGTTTCTATATGATTGAGAGCCATGGGAATGATTCAAAAAACAAGGAAATTGGGTACCTTATGAACTGAAACCGAGAGACGTTGAAAGGCGATTTTTCACTTGCGAACAGCTGATTCAAAGACAACAGAGAAAAGGATTTTTGCATCGGATTATGACTGGAGATGAGAAGTAGATATTCTACGACAACCCCAAAAATACTAAGCTAAGCTCGATCAATTTGCCATCGACCTCGATCGTTGCCATCGATCTCAACAACAACACCACCGAACATTCATGGTTCGAAGATCATGCTCTGTATCTGGTGGGACCAAAGGAGTCTTGTTTACTAGCTGCTGAAATCTGGCGATTCCATTACAGGCGATCGGTATCGGCTACAATTGATTCATTTGAGCCATGCATTGCGAGAAAAACGGCCGGAATACGAGCAAAGACAGTTAAAGTTATTCTTCTTCATGACAACGCTCGGCCTCATGTCGCTAAAGTCATAAAAAAATATTTGGAAACGCTCAAATGGGATTTTACCGCACCCGCCATATTCTTCGGACATTGCTCCTTCTGATTATTGATTGTTCCGAAGGATGCAGCACGATTTGGCAAGTCACCGGTTCACTTCTTTCGCAGAAAATTGGCTCCAAAATTGGATCGCCTCCAAAGACGAGTCATTTTTTCGAGATGGAATTTGAAAATTGTCTGAGAGATGGGAAAAGTAATAGACAGTGATGGACATACTTTAATTGATCTGTTCATTCATTTTGTTTTGAAATAAATGCACAAAAAACGGATCGAACTAATTTGTACTCCCAATATATATATATATAATAAATTTCAACATGCAAAGTAAAGAAAGAAAGTGAGATAAATTAATAAAAATGAAATAATAC